GGCGAGCTCATGAAGTCTTTGCTCCTGTAGGCCTGCCCCAGGAGATTCTCACGGACCAGGGCACCAACTTTACCTCCCAACTGCTGCAGCAGGTGTGTAGGCTCCTGGGGATCAAGCAGTTGCACACCTCTATCTACCATCCACAAACCGACGGTTTGGCTGAACGGTTTAACCGTACTCTAAAAGACACGTTGTGCAAATTCCCCCCAGAAGAACTACACCAATGGAACCAGCTACTCCCGCCTTTGCTTCTGGCGATCTGGGAGGTGCCCCAGGCCTCTACGAAGTTTTCCCCTTTTGAGTTGTATAGCCGCCGCCCACGGGGGTTGCTTGACCTGATGCATAAAAACTGGGAACAAGCTCCATCACCAACCCAGGGCCTCTTGAAGTATGTCCTCCAGCTCCAGGAACACCTCACTCAGGCCGAGGTGCTTGCCCGGGAAAACTTAAGGGCTCAAGCACGAACCTATAACCGAGATATGCAGAGCCGCGACTTTAAACCTGGGGACTGGGTCCTGCTTCTCCTGCCCTCGAGTGAGTCCAAGCTACTGGCCCGCTGGCAGGGCCCCTACGAGGTGGTCCAGAAGGTGGGGCCCGTCACCTATGAGGTCAACCAACCGGACCGACGTAAGAAAACCCAGCGGTACCATGTCAACCTCCTGAAGCCCTGGCGGAAGCGCGAGGGCTTATTAATTAACCCTTACCCGCCGGAGCCAGAACTGGGCCCCCATGCCACCCTAACCCAAGACACCAGGGGCCTCAGCTCGCGGAGACCCTCACAGATGAACAACGCAAGCAAGCCTGGTGCCTCCTGCAGGCCTTCCCGTGAACCTTCACCAGCCAGCCGGGTTACAGAACCCTGGTTTATCATACCATTCAGACAGAACCTGGGGTAGTGATCCAAGAAATGACCAGGCCCTTGCCGCACTGCATGCAGCAGATCGTCGAGGAAGAGGTACAAGCCATGCTAGAGCTAGGCGTAATTGAACCCTCACAGAGCGAATGGCGTAGTCCGATAGTGCTAGTACCCAACCCGATGGGACGTGGCGCTTCTGCATCGACTTCCGACACGTCAATGCCATTTCCAAATTTGACGCATATCCTATGCCACGCGTAGATGAGCTGCTTGGCCGGTTAGGGGAGGCTCGTTTCCTCACCACACTTGACCTCAGCAAGGGCTACTGGCAGATCCCCCTTGACCCCGCTTCAAGGGAGAAGACAGCGTTTGCCACCCCAACAGGTCTGTACCAATTCACCCGGATGCCCTTTGGCCTCCATGGGGACCCAGCCATGTTTCAGTGGCTGATGGACCGTGTTCTCCAACCCCATTGAGACTATGCAGCTGCCTACCTGGACGATGTGGTCATCTACAGCCGCCACTGGGAGGATCATTTGGTGTGGGTAGCGGCAGTCCTGAGATCCCTGTGGGCCGCCGGGTTGACAGACCACCCAAAAAAATGCCGCATTGGATGGCAAGAGACTACTTATCTGGGCTACATCATAGGGAACGGACAAGTGAAGCCGCTCGTGGGAAAAGTCCAGGCCCTGGCGGCCTGCCCGCTTCCCACCACAAAGCGTCAGGTGCGACAGTTCTTGGGCCTCACCGGCTATTATCAGTGTTTCATTCCCCATTTTGCGTCGATCGTTGGTCCTTTGACCGGCCTTTTAACCAAGGACAACCCTCGACGTGTGGTTTGGATCCCGGAATGCGAAGACACCTTTCAGGAACTCAAAAAGAGTCTCTGCTGTGAACCGGTCCTCTACAGCCCAAATTTCAACTGAGATGTCATCCTCCAAACGGATGCCTCGGAGGTAGGACTGGGCGCCATCCTGTCCCAAGAGATAGATGGGGAAGACCATCCGGTCTTATATATCAGATGGAAATTGTTTCCGCGGGAGAAGAACTACGCTGTCGTGGAGAAGGAGGCCTTGGCAGTGAAATGGGCTTGTGATGCCCTACGTTACTAGCTTCTTGGAGCCCCGTTCACCCTAGTCACTGACCACGCCCCACTTCAGTGGATGAATAAAATGAAAGACAATAATATGAGAATACAGCGGTGGTCCCTGGCGCTCCAGCCCTATGCCTTTATGGTTTGCCATAGGGCAGGCAAGGACCACGCTAATGCTGACTTCCTGTCCCACCTGGGAGGTATGCAAGAGTCTGGCTCCCTGCCGCCCCCAAGGGGGACGAGCATCCCTAGACACCAAAGTGGGCAGAGCCAGCAAACCATGCGCCCGCCCCTCAGAGGTCAAGGCGCAGGACAGGAAGTATAAAAGCCCAGAGCTCTCTTTAAGCTCGGCCACCGGAGAGACCAGACGCCTGTGGTGTAGCTCCCAGCGGGGAGACCACGGCGATCAGTGGCCGAACTGAGGACTGGCCCAACCAGCCAATGCCCAGAGACGCTAGCCCAAACCCAGAAACGCTACCAAGCCTTCCGCTCACACATTATCCTGAGGGACTGCCAGGCCTACCGTTTGCCAGTTACCCCGAGGAGCTGCCAAACCAACCGCTCGCCAGCTACCTGGAGGAGCCGATAGTGTGTGACCCCGTGGAGGACGCTGTCCGGACCCAGGTACCTCTAGAGGGGGAGGAAGGAAGTAGCCTGGGGACAGCCGACCTGTGTCTGGCTGCAACACTGCCAAAGCCAATGTCAGTGTGTTGCAGTCAGGATCCCCACTGACACAGCAGCGGGTCTTCTGCTGCTGCTAGGGCCCCGGGCTGGGATGCAGTGGAGTGGGTGGGCCTGCATCCCCCCTGCCACCCACCTTGCGGGTGGCAGTCTCCCCCTCTCCCCAGCTATTCAGAGCCAGGAGCCTGGGGATTTGCTATTGAACCTGTTTGCTCAGCCCCTGCCTGAGGGCCTGAGCTACTGACTGTTTGTTGCCCCGCCCTGACCCAGGGCCTGGGCCTGCTAACATTGAACCTGTTTGCTCAGCCCCTGCCTGAGGGTTTGAGCTACTGACTATTTGTTCCCCCACCCTGATCCAGGGCCTGGGCCTGATATTGAACTGTTTGCTCAGCCCCCGCCTGAGGGCCTGAGCTACTGACTGTTTCGTGCCCGCCTGACCCAGGGTCAGGGCTTGCTACTATTGAACTGTTTGCTCAGCCCCGGCCAGAGGGCTGGAGCTGCGGACTGTTTCCCGCACAGCCAAACTAATTCCCCAACACACCTGACTAAAGTAACGAGGCGGTCTGGCTCCCCACCGCTCCGGAGGGGGACGAGCCCGGCTGAACTGCTCTACACTCTCCCTTGGGAGCTGGTCCTAATACATGGCCTAACTGATATTTCCCATGTCTAAGGGTATGTCTACACCCAGCCGCTAGTTCGGCGGCTGGGAATCGAAGTTCTGGGTTCGTCTTATCGCGTCTTGTCTGGACGCGGTAAGTCGAACCAGGAAGTGATCGCCGTCGACTGCGGTACTCCAGCTAGACGAGAGGAGTACCGCGGCGTCGACGGGGGAGCCTGCCTGCCACGTGTGGACCGAGGTAAGTTCGAACTAAGGTACTTCGACTTCAGCTACGTTATTCACGTAGCTGAAGTTGCGTACCTTAGTTCGAATTGAGGGGTAAGTGTAGACCAAGCCTAAGTGCTGTGATTAAGACTCCATACATTGAACAGCTTCAGAATAAGGTCCTGTCTGCAGATTACTGTGATTAGAACATGGCATTAAAATACTTAGTAATGTTAAATAGTGACATTGTTTTAAACACAATGCTCTCAATCTTTGCAAGTCCTAATGTACACTGTATCTTCCACAGAACAAATGTACAGTTATATATACACTTCGTAAAATTAATCATTACTGAAAAATAATCAATTTAATACAATTCAAAGTAAAAAAATCACTAATAAAAGCCTTCAGTTTGTCAATAGATATTAACTATCACTATGTTAACTAGTAAATCAAAATCATGGAGATACAAGACAGTCAAACCATTCCTATTATTATTAGGGATGAGTAAATAATCATAAGACTCTTCATTGTAAAATAATGAAAGACAATAGCTAAAAATACCAATTGTCATGCCAGCTTCCTAGAGATCCCCTGACCTGCTTACTTAATGCTCCAGTAAGGTATCTGCATTTTAAATAGAGGCACACATTATTTTATTTTTTATTGTTATCAGCTAGATTCTGTACTGCACATTACTGGAAAAATGTGAGGATTCGTCCCATGAAATTGTGATATAGTAAAACAGGGAGTGCCCTGGTAACGGGAAAGCTTTTACACCAAGTACCTACACAAGAGAAGCACCAAAAAGAGGATAAATATTTAGAAATTCAAACATCCTCCCTAGCATACTCAGAGAAGGAAGGCTCCCTAGCTGGCAAGACAGAATCTCTAGCCAGATTCTTAGAATGTTAACCAGATCCTGAACAAGTAATGTATAATGTAGTATGTTAACAGATTATTGCAACTTTGCCTTTATGAAAAGCTTGTTGCAGTTATCTCAAATAATGTAAACTGTGCATCTCTTAAAAGAAAAAGATGCACTGAAGAACTAGATAACAAATATTTTAAATCACCCGCTCTCTCCCCCATCTTCTAGCAAATATGGATTTGATACTACTCTCTCTAAAGTCAGTGGCAAAACTTCCATGCACCGTAGAGGCACAGGATTGAGCCCTCTGTCAAAAGAATGTCTCCACAGGAAACAGAAAATGTTATTCACAGAACAGAAAGTCTCCTTTCTATTATCCTATAACAGGTTAAACTCTGACTTTCTTGCTATATGTGAGAACAGTTTCCAGTTGAGCTTTTCACATTGCTAAGGGCTGCAGGCAGGCGTGCTGGAACAATTTGTATTGTGGGGTGCTGAGAGACATTGAATCAAACTGTAAACCCTGTATATAATGGCAACCACTTCAAACCAGGGGATGCTGCCACACCCCCAGCACCAGCACCTATGGCTGCAGGAGTCAGACTTAGCTATGCATGGTCAAAAATACTGGAAGCTAATCATACTTGAATGGAAAGGAAAGTTCATGTACACTTACTCCCAGAATTCCATGACTGGAGACGTGGCATTTTGTAAAGAAAGTTGACTGCAGTTGCTCATATTAAGTTTCTGAAATTCCACACAGTTTTCTATAAAAGAACAAAAAAAAATGGCTATGATATCTGCAATACACTTGTCTGCTTAGAGTATGTTCATCATGTAATGCCACCAGTCTAATTGAACTGACAAAGGCTTTCCACGCATTTGAAAATAGTATGGAATTGTCAGTTCTGTTACAGTGTACTTTGATCGTCGAGTCACACAGACTCATCCCAGGAAGATATTCCTGCACAGCATGTTACATTCACCTACAGTACTTTTTGAATGAGAAGCTACAATTGCAAGAGCCAATGCAGTGTTGGAGGCAGAAGAAAGAAGTTTTGAACTGGTGTGATTGCTAGAGAGTTAAAACATACAGCCCACGCCAACTGGCTAACTAAGGTTCAATTCCCAATGCCAACAGTTGGCTCAGGAATCACTTTCTGCCAGCAACGTATCCACTGGCCATAATATGGCAAGTGAGAAAGTTACTCTCTGGTGTGCTCTTAGGGGGGAAAAAGATGACAAGATCAAAGCAGCTCAGCATTATTGAGCTGACACATACTATTCGAACAATGATCAGTACTGGCTAGGTGTCACTGCACGGAGGTGAAAAAGGACACTGAAGCCTACCACCACCACCAGGCCTGATCCTGGATTCTTAACACATCCAAATGGACTTCTGAGAGTGTTTTAGGTGTGCATGGAATGCAGGATTGGGCCCAATGGGAGTGAGTCAAAGCCATAAAGCCACAGTAGGGAGTGAGGATGGGGTGAGGGCAAACAGTAATATAAGGAGTGGAAGGGGGAAAAAAATCAATGGCATGAAAACTACAACCAATACACAGCACTAGAGGATGAAAGTATTAGTGGGCATTCAGTTCCACAAACCATTATGATCTTCCTTTCAAGTGAAATACAGTACTTAAACATTCAGATTGATAAAAGAATAACCATGTTAGGACAAACCTTCCAAATACAGGGCCCTATCCTGCAAACCCTCACTCACACAACACAATCAAACAAACAGTCTTATTTGTGCAGTTAAGGGTTTGCAGGAGTGGGCCCAGGTACAGTCAGAAAAATACAATACAACAAAGTTATAGATCTCAGAATAAAAAGTTCAGATACAAAGATCCTTACTCCATTTTTCCCTCAGCATTTAAGCAGGCAAGACACACACTGGTTTCACAGGGAGTTTGTCTGAAGAAGGATTGATGAAAAACTGAGCGCCATATTGTGCCATCAGTTTTTAAGCTGAACTCCCTGAGTGTAAAAAAGTGAAAGTACGATACGGTCCTGAGTGGCAAGATCCCAGGATTTAGCCCATAGCATCTTTCAGAATTAAGAAAAGCCTAGGGCTTCTGATCCTGTACAGTATCATTACATTTGACAAGAACAAATGTCTATACAATGCCAAGAAAAAAACAACACACCACAAAAGCATGAGCAAGATTCTACACCAGGACTCTTCAGTAAACGCTGGTAAATATTGTGGGCCAAATTCTCTGCTGATGTGATTTTCACATTTCCATTGATTTCAATGGAACTAAGCCAATTTCTACCAGCAAAAAATTTGGCCCCTACAGTTTAATTTACCAATCAATTACTTTTAAGTATTTCTATAGTTATTAAGTTTGCTGGGGACATACCTGTATTCCATTCATGGCCACAAGTGGCCCAAGGGAGCTCTGTGGTAAAGCAGTTAAATAGATAGAAGATAGCCCATGCTAAAATGATGATGTAATAAATATTTAAATGTGCTTCAATAACTTGGGTAGCATATCCAATACCTGGAGAAAAAAATACAGAAAAGAAACTAATTACAGAAACCGTTTGCTTTTCAAACCAAGACCATATTTTTTTCTGCATTTTGCTTAACATTATTTTTGCTGAAACATATAATGCATTAAAAAAAATAGAACAAAGAACTGGTTGTTACCTTCAAACAGCGGGCAAACTTTTCTCCAACATGTAATTCCTCCTTCACTAGTAAACTGTCCCAGGGCGGTCTCCAGGAAAAATACTGGTATTCCACAGCAAATAAAGAAAATCACATATGGAATGAGGAAAGCACCTACAAGCAAACATCAATGGGGAGCTGGTTAGAAAAAACAAGGATCCTTTTCTTTAAAGTGAAAAATGTGCTTTTCTTAACAAAGGAAGGATCCTACAAACCCTTACTCCTTTGAGTAGTACCACTGAAGCCAATGGAGGAAGCACAACTCATGGGAGAAAGGGTCAGGTCCTAAATTCTGAAAATTAATTTCTATGGGTCGGTCTATTCACTTTACTCCTACAGTATTGTCTAGAGGACAAGACACCTGCATCCAATTTCCAGCTTAACCTCACACTTCTTGCATGATCATGGGCAAGTCACTTGTCCACCTTGCACCTCAGTTCTCCATCTGTAAAATGGGAATAATACTTCCCTGCCTCACAGGGGTATTGTGAAGATAAAATCCATTAAGAATTGTGAGGCACTGGGTACTATGATGGTGAGGATCATATAGATAGACAGAGAACCAATGGGACTATTTACAGGATTTAGCCTTTGATCAGAAGAAGATATACACCAGAAATTAAAAATTTTAACTTCACACACTAGGAAAATAACAAAGCATCCATGCTCTTTCTGAGCTTCTCACAGGAAAGATTAAATACAAAATATGTAGTATATAAGTGCAGTCCAGTGCCAAAGAGTTGCACAGTAGCAAATGCCATTCTTTCCTTTATTGACTAAGGTATAGCGGAAATAGTACATTACTGTAATTTAAACTTTGGAAACAAACACTCCTTTAATACTTAATCATATTGTAAAATATTTACATTCAACACCTGCAAACATGGAGGGATAAATATTATCAGAATGGGTTATACATTAACAGAGGTGAGAAAGGATAACTGTGTTAGATCAAATTCTCATCTCGATTGCATTTGGTCCAATCCCCATGGATTTTATTGAGAAAAACAAGATGAAGCCTTTTCACTGCAAAGAGAACAAGTGAGAAGAGAAGAGAAGACAGAAAAAGAGCTCCATCCAGCACACTACTCTGCTAATGAGTCCAGAGGTGAGTTATAGCACACACAGACTACAGGTTTAGATCCAAGCAAGGGAAGAAGGAAATACATCTGGAGGAGGAAGGGATACCAAAGATGGCTAATAAACGCAGTGATGGATCAGACAATTCATACTCAAACCAGGTGAACTAATACTCATAAAGGACCTAATTTTCTGCCACTTTTACTCACATGGTGTAGTGCTTGTGAAAAGTTCCATTGACTTCTGGAGGGCTACTGGCAGAATAAGGCACTACTCACCATGAGTTAGGATGGCAGAATCCAGGTCTCAACGTATTGCCTGCAGTTCCTGAACATACAACCCTGGCATACATTAATTAGAGCTTCATTTAAGACTAAATGAAATAATTAAACCGACACGAGGTCCATTTCAAAGTGACAAAGTTAAATTCACAGTCGCATTCCCTTTTTCTCTTCAGTATGTATTTTAAAATATTGCCACCCACAGTACACACTACTCCACCTCTCCTACACACTGCAGAGTTTAGCGGCAATGGCATCTCCCTCAACCAGCTCTCTGACAATGCAAGTATCTTTACTGACTGGCCTTTTTAGACTGTATCTCCAATAATATGCGTTTACTTTCTGAATCTTCACAGCCAACCAAATGTTTCTGAACTTTGTTTCAGGACAACTTTTTAGTTGTATAAATAACCAGTGATTCTGTGTTTTAATCATAAAAAAAAAAAAGCAGAGGCAATTGCAATGTTGAATTATGTTTCGCTCACTTGGCTCTAGAACAGGAGATAAAACAAAGTATGCCTGCTTTTCAGAAGTATAGCATGGCATCATGTGGACCTGCAACTTCAGTCTGCAGACCCATAACTAAAGAGAGGTCTCTTCAGGGACCACTTCCTCTACAAACCTCTCTAATGCATGGTTTCTCCAAATACTTAATTCTGCAGATCCCTCCAGTAAAACTTCCACAGTTTGAGAATTGCTGGTCTAGGTCAAATCCTGCTTGGTGTACTCAAATGCATAGTCCTGATGACTTTAGCGTAAGTACCTGTTTAAGTCAGGAGTGTGAGATCTGACTCTCTGGGACTGATTCTCCTCTCACTACACCAGTTTTATGCTGATCTGACTCCACTGACTTCAACAGATTTACACCAGTGTAACTGAGAGGAGAACCACGCTTTCTTCTCTCCACATAAACAATCAGCCAGCCAACTAAACAATAACTGATCTAAAATTATAAAAGGCAATTTATCTTACTGGACAATCAACTATCACCAATAAGCCACATTCCCATGCTCATAAACAAACTGAGATAATTAAAACTGCTCTTTCACAAATCCTGATCTGCATTTTACACATAGATGCAGAAACTCTATGTATAAAACAAGCCAAATTTTGATCTCAGTTCCAGCATCGCACCTATGCTCAGTGGGGTTGCACAAAGAGCTGAGAGCAGATTGGGTGAAATCCTGGCCCCACTGAAGGTAACAAAATATTGCCATTGGCATCAGTGGTGCCAGGATGTTGTCAATTTTTTTTCATTACATTCTGTCTTTAGGATGCTGGAGTTTGTTATTTATTTTAAATGTGTTTCCATCTAATTACACAGCAAACATGACTGAAGTATTTTCAATGTGAAGTTAACATTGGTGAAAATGGCAATTTCACATTTTGACTAGCTAGAATATGTAGATATACTACACGTGTAACTAACAAGTATATAAAGGGTACCACGGGAATAAGGGTGTGTTCAAAATGTTATTTCTCAAAGTTTTCTTCTACCTTCTCAGAAAAACCCTTGGGACAATTCTTACAAATTAGCATCAAATATGTTCTGCATTTCATGTCCAGATTGTTATCTTTATATAATAAAAGCACTACTAGAAATCAACATGCACCATCTTAAGAATAGCAGAGTTCTTTTTTATCTCGTTTTTGCCAAAGTGCAGGAATAAAAGGAACTAAAGCCAAATTACAAAGCAAACACACCTACTACTGCACAGTAGTTTTTAGAAATGTACCAAACAAAAATGGGTCAGGATTATCTCTGGTGTTACTCAGTGGAGTGACAATGGAGATAAATTTGGCATTGTTGGCAGAGAAAACCTACTGATGAATAGGTCTTTTTATGCATGTGTACATCTCAGCTACCAAGCACATTGCTTTCTTCCTAAGCTATCTGCTTTTACTACTGTTTTAGGCCTGAATTGGAAGAGTGTCTGTATCCAGCTGACCATATTCCTAAACTACTTTTTATTTTGATTAATCATTTTTCCACTGGTAGTGTTTATTCATAACTGTATTATATCCTATGTGTTTCATACAAGCTATAAATAATACATAAAATATGTGATGTTGTTGCATAACCTGAACTTGTGCTTTTCTCCCTTAAGTAACATTCTTTTATTGTGTTCCACAACTTCGTGTATCTAATGTTATTTCTAATATTTAATAAAGTGACTAGTATCCTTTCTGCAGCTAACAAATACAACCTCCTTTTCTACCCTATCTGAGGAGAAAATAAGCAAACAAAGTTGGCTGCAATTGATTTAAAGGGACTCTGATTTAACAGAGAACAAACCAATGATGCAGGTATGATAAGAAAACAATCCTCCTAAAAGTTTAGTCCTTGATTGCCATGTAGCCATTAAACCATTATAAAAAAACCCATTTGTACTTTGCAAAGTACCTTGTTTTGGAAAATGCACAATTACTTTATATTGTAGCTGTTCCTAATAGGATTGGTTTTTTCTACTCGTTTACTTTAGTTTTTGAGAGCATAAGCATGTGTATATGTTTACATGCACAAAAACATACAGTATATAGTCCCATTTTAATAGTGTACTAGTCTGTTTTTCATGAGATGTTTGTACTAAAATGGGACCATATGGGTGAAAATAGTTTTGAGTCACATAGGCCATTTTTGTACAATGTGGTTTCCACTTAATTTCACAAGATTTTGTAAGTGCATTACCGTATTCACAAAAACATGACATTTCTCAGATGCAAAAAACTTGCAAAAGGAAAGTGCAAAACATTTTGCAAAAAAATAAGTAAAATGTTCCATAATTTTACACAGCCACACAATGCTTAATGCTTCCATAGCAGCGTGAGCCCTGAAGTCCTCTTACAAACACCTATTTTTTACAACCAATGCAAGAAGTCACCGCAAAGCATTTGTTTACTGTTTATTTACCATGTGTTTATGGTGAGCTGTGAATCTATATGTGATGCCATCTTACCTCCTCCATTCTTGTAGCAAAGATATGGGAATCGCCACACATTTCCCAACCCAATAATCTCCCCTGCCACAGAAAGCACAAATTCAACCTTATTGTTCCAGTGGCCTCTTTCGTGCACTTTCTTATCGTTGCTGTGGACCAGGTTGGTACTTGAGGCTTCAGGGTCCAAAGCATCTTCTGGCTTGCCATTAATTATGGGAATAGTCTTTTCAGCGGTCATGACTCTGTCCAGCCTGGCGGGGTGAAAGGATAAGAAAAGTATGGATTTTTAAATCACTTTCACACAACAACAAACGACCACTCACAAATCCCTCATCTGATCTTTGTCTTTGCATGTCCTATGACATACAGGGATTTGCTAGAAGGTGCTAAAAGTGAAGGCGATGCCAACTTTGCTAGATCAGACAAGTTAACACCACCCCAAAAAAGGTGGGTGGTGTGGGATCATTTAGGTGCAGTTAGGAGAATTAAAGACTCCCAAACGGCCACCTTTCAGAAATCCCTCCCCTTGCTAGGATCCCAGCTCTGCAAACCTCACAGCCATCACAGAGATCAGCCCAAGCACATCTGACCTGCAGCCTCATACACCTTCCAGTTCAACACAGATACAAGGGGGAAGGGGATGAAAGGCTCCTGGGCTCCCCGGAAGAGCAGGCGCCCCCACTACTCACCCAGGGCTCTGCCTGTGCTGATGAGAGAGGGGCAGGGTCGCTGGATCTCGGCTGGGCTCTGAGCGGATCCCCGTGGGCTGCCACTGTCCGCCCTGTTGCTCTGGAGCCGAGAAGCGGCAGGCGCCCGGCGGCGGCGCAGGCAGGGGACTGAGGGTGCAAGGAGGAGGACAGACAGGGGCGCCTTATCCTCTCTCTGTCAGCTGCTGCCCGGCTCCCCGGCTGCAGGGGATGGGATGCTCCCTGCTACCCACGCGGCGGAGGAGAATTTGCAACTGCTCAGCCTTTCCCGGAGCGATGGTATAACACCCGCCTCCCCCCTCCACCCAGCGCCGTCTGCCCACCGCCTCCTCCGCCCTGCATCGCATCTGGAGCATCTCCAGCCCGCTCGCTACCCCGCCCCCTGCCACTGACCATCAGCCCCCCTCCCCTTTCCAGCTGTGTGTGTCGGGGACGGGGGGGCGAGCTCTCCAGGCAAGGCAGGCAGCCTGCACCCAGCCCCAAGGAGCAGCCCGGGAGAAGGGGAAGGGGGGCTTACTGCACCAGCTTCCAGCTGTGCTTGTCAGGAGAGAACGGGGTGTTGCTGGCAGCAGTGGGAAGAGCTGGAGCTCCCAGCCAAACCTAGTTCTGGAAGGGCTCAGAACCCCAACCCTTGCAGCAGCTGCTGTTTATTATTAATCAATTACTACTTGGGTGAAGGGAGCACCAGGGCTAGTTAGGCCCCCATCCTGCCCAGTGAGGTCCCCCACAGTTAGCAGGCATCCTCTGCTCTTTAGAGTCTTACTGTCCCTGGGCAGTTGGTATCTAGTGCTGCCCACATCTCTTTCTGATCCCCCACCACCATTCCTGCCACCCGTTAGGCCTGGCAAAGCCTCCATCTGCCTGGGTGGCAGATGCTGGTCCTGTTCCTTCTCAAAATCTTGCCTCACAACTCATTCCTCATGGCACTGCTAACCTGCGCTCCAGCTCGGGGCAATGGTCCCACCCCTGTCTCTGATCTTTCTTAATGCACCTTTTATTAATACCCAAACCTAACAAAGAATCATAGAATCATGGGACTGGAGGGACCTCAAGGGGTCATCTAGTCCAGTCCTCTGCACTCATGGGAGGACTGAGTATTATCTAGACCATCCCTGACAGACAGGTGTCTGTCTAACCCGCTCTTAAAAATCTCCAATGATGGAGATTCCTCAACCTCCCTAGGCAATTTATTCCACTGCGTAACCACCCTGACAGTTAGGAAGTTTTTCCTAATGTGCAGTCTAAACCTCCCTTGCTGCAATTTAAAGCCATTATTTCTTGTCCTATCCTCAGAGGTTAAGAACAACAATTTTTCTCCCTCTTCCTTGTAACAACCTTTTTTGTACTCGAAAACTGTTATCATGCCCCCTCTCAGTCTTGTCTTTTCCAGACTAAACAAACCCAATTTTTTCAATCTTCCCTTAATAGGTCATGTTTTCTAGACCTTTAATTATTTTTGTTGCTCTTCTCTGGACTTTCTCCAATTTGTCCACATCGTTCCTGAAATGTAGAACTGGACACAATACTCCAGTTGAGGCCTAATCAGTGTGGAGTAGAGCGGAAGAATTACTTCTCGTGTCTTGCTTACAACACTCCTACTAATACATCCCAGAATGACGTTCACTTTTTTTGCAGCAGCATTACACTGTTGACTCATATTTAGCTTGTGATCCACTATGACCCCCAGATCGCTTTCCGCAACACTCCTTCCTAGGCAGTCATTTCCCATTTTGTATGTGTGCAACTGATTGTTCCTTCCTAAGTGGAGTACTTTGCATTTGTCCTTATTGAATTTCATCCTATTTACTTCAGACCATTTCTCCAGTTTGTCCAAATCATTTTGAATTATAATCCTACCCTCCCAGCTTGGTATTGTCTGCAAACTTTGTAAGTGTCCTATCTATGCCATTATCTAAATCATTGATGAAGATATGAACAAAAGCGGACCCTACTCATTATGCCCTTCCAGCATGACTAAACCATTGATGATTACTCTCTGGGAACAGTTTTCCAACCAGTTATGCATCCACCTTATAGTATCTCAATCTAGGTTGCATTTCCCTAGTTTGTTTATGAGACGGTCACGTGGGACACTATCTAAAGCTTTACTAAAGTCAAGATATACCAAGTCTACCCCTTCCCCCCATCCACAAGGCTTGTTACCCTGTCAAATAAAGCTATCAGGTTGGTTTGACATGATTTGTTCTTGACAAATCCATGCTGACTGTTATTTATCACCTTATTATCTTCTAGAAGTTTGCAAATTGATTGCTTAATTATTTGTTCCATTATCTTTCTGGGTACAGAAGTTAAGCTGACTGGTCTATAATTCCCCAGGTTGTCCTTATTTCCTTTTTTATAGAATGGCACTATAATCTTCTGGAATCTCTCCTGTCTTCCATGACTTTTCAAAGATAATCACTAATGGTTCTGATATCTCCTCAGTCAGCTCCTTGAGTATTCTAGGATGCATTTTATCAGGCCCTGGTGACTTGAAGACATCTAACTTGTTTAAGTAATTATTAACTTGTTCTTTCCCTATTTTAGCTCCTGATCCTACCTCATTTTCACTATGTTAGACATCCTATCATCACCAACCTTCTTGGTGAAAACTGAAGAAGTCATTAAGCACCTCTGCCATTTCTACATTTTCTGTTATTGTTTTTCCCCCCATTACTAAGTAACGGGCCTATCCTGCCCTTGGTCTTCCTCTTGCTTCTAATGTATTTGTAGAATGTTTTTTGTTACCCGTGATGTCTCTAGCTAGTTTGATCTCATTTTGTGCCTTGACCTTTCTAATTTTGTCCCTACATACTCCTTCCCTTTTTCCCTGCCTATCCTTCCTGAGCAAGCTGTATCCTTCTATACCAATATTCTAGTCATGCATATTATCCCACCAAGTCTCTGTGATGCCAACTATTATAGTTGTGTTTATTACTAGCATTTCAAGTTCTTCCTGCTTATTCCCCATACTTCTTGCATTAGTATACAGACATCTAAGATACTGATTTGATTCCCCCCGCCCCCCGTTCTGTCTTGTCTCTCCCTTATCCCTGCTATAATAGCCAATGCTTCCCCCAAATTCCAACCCTTCTCCCAGGTCTCCATGTTTTTGACTTACCTGTGGGCTTTGGTCACCTGCCCCCTTCAAACCTAGTTTAAAGCCCTCCTCACTACGTTAGCCAGTCTGTATCTAAATACGCTCTTCCCCTTCCTCAATAGGTGGACCCCATCTCTGCTTAGCAGTCCTTCTCCTGGAACAGCATCCTGTGGTCAAGGAAGCTGACGCCCTCCTGGCAACACCATCCTCGCAGCCAGGCATTCACCTTCAGTATGCATCTGTCTCTGCCTGGGTCCCTACCCTTGACTGGAAGGATCGAAGAGACCACCACCTGCACACCCAGCTCCTTCACCCTTACTCCCAGAGCCCTGTAGTCACTTCTGATCTGCTGAGGGTCATACCTCACAGAATCATTAGTGCCCACATGGATGAGTAGCATGGGGTAGTAGTGAGAGGGCCGGATGATCTTTGACAATCCCTCCATAACGTCTCAGATACGGGCCCCTGACAGACAGCATACCTCCCGGGATCCCATGTCAGGGCAATAGATGGGTGCCTCCATCACCCTCTGAAGAGAGTCACCAACCACCACTGCCCTACGTTTCCTCCTGGGAGTGGTGGCTGTGATCCTCCCAGCCTTGGGGGTATATGACTTCTCCTCCTCCACCTTTGGGGGCGATTCCTCATTGCTCGTTGCCAGGGCAGCATATCGGTTTTCCACCACCCTGGTGCGTGGGTTGAGAGTAGGGGTGGAGCACTGCCTGCTGCCAGAAGTAACCAGCAGCCAGTGTCCTCCCTGTGAGAAAGCCATATCTTCCTCCCCTGGTGGCATGACAGCAGTCCTCTGTAGCTGGATAGCTTCCTCAGCTTTGGACATCTCCATATGAATGCTCTCATGTAATTCCTCATGGGCACGGATGCTCCTCAGATTAGCCACCTCTTCCTGTAGCTCTCCCACCTGCTTCCTGAGAGATTCCACCAGCAGGCACCTTTCATCCTGGATGATCCCCCCCAGCCTGGCTTTCTGTGAGTGGGAAATGTAGGCCACAGTCTCTGCAAATCCACACCAGGATCTGAGTAGAGGCATCCATGGTTAGGTTGTCCGTCTGGATACAGGTGTAGGTGGAGGAGACAGGGGCAGTGTTGGCACTGGCAATGTGGCCCTTCCTAACCATAGCGATTATATTATGACTCCCTCCCACAAATTCCCTCTCAAACTCCCCGATTTGCGGTCCCCACTTCGCTAGCAGGGCCAGCTGCAGGCACCAGCTTAACAAGCAGGTGCTTGGGGTGGCCAAGGGAGAGGAGCGGCACCTGCGGCAATTTGGGGGCGGCAGGAACGCTGGAGCTGGCGCTGTTCGCTAGCTCCCCTTGGTCGCTTAGCCTCTGGCTTTTAAGGCCGTCTCCCCTAGGTCAGCCCTACGCCCTCGTTAATCCCACACGGGGAGGGTGATCATAAGTCTGATTGAGGCTGATCAAAGATGATCCAGGGAACAAAGGCTCAAACAGTCCCCACACACACAATCCCAACTGACTCTGTAACTGAAATAACCTGAAAGAGAAAGAAAAACACAAACAGCCAAACAAACTCACTCACCCCAAGATTAGTACTTGCACCTTGCTCGTTCATTAGAGGGATCTCCTTCTTCCCCTCTCAAACTCCCCTGTTTGTGGTCCCCTGTTCGCTCATGATGGCCCGTAAGTTCTATTCCCTTCCGCCTTTGGCCTGCATACTCCTCCCTCCTGTCCATCACACTCCGGGGACTGCTGAATTCAATGCCCATGAAAGATACCAGATTTACAGCATGAGGGAACAAAGTCTTCTATTTATCCATAGAACAGACACTGCACGGAGAGCTGCACTGCAAGCTCCTCCACCCTGCCATGCCAATGTGCCTAAACTGGAGGGGCCACCTTCAGGGATATAAAGGCAGTGTAGTCTCCAGTCAGGTCTTGGACTCCCTGTTGGCACTGTTTCAGTTAGGGTCAACTGTGAC